GCCTTTCTGTGTCAAAATCAAAATGGAGCCGCGTTCTTTGTCATACCTAATACTTGTTTTAAGGAATATAGTACAGATTTTTATGAGTTTGGTGCGCCCCCTCTCACATTTGTTATGTGAAAATATGTTGTTTTTTTTATTTTGCTGCATTAAACATTCATTATTTAATTTAGACATCGAGCGTGTAAACTGAAGTGACCTTATATGTGTTTGAAAAGAAATATGAGAGTAAACGCAAAAATCTCGGAGAACGGCCCGCGTAGAAGTCGTCTGGAATGTCGCACCGCGTAGGTTGGTAGATATCGGCCGATGTTTCTGAGGTGATTACAGCATCCGTCATCAGGGTGGTGACTAAGCTGCATGGTTTCACTGAAATTGAAGGTCATGGCCCAAAACATTTGGAAGCTTTATGCACGTTATTCAGCCATTAATGAGAATTGGAAGGTGGCACAGCTGAAAATTTTTCAGACGGTATGTGAAGTCGAGCGATTTTTTCTCCCATTTGGGTTCAATGTGATGAATCAGACTAATACTGTCACTCGTACAATATTCCATTAGGGTATTTGCAACAAATTTCTCTATTTAAATTGTAATTTGAATCAGTTTATGTTTTATTTATCATTTCAATGATTGTTTTCTTTGTGTTGCCAAAACATTTATTCTTAATTGTCTTACATATGAATTGTTCATCTGTAGGTGTGAACGTATTGTGAAAGGGATTTATTTTACTGAAGTAATGCGTGGCTGTCGGTAGAGGCGCGTGACGTTAACGTAACCAGTAGTAAGTGCAGTGTAGTGTGTTAATCATTTTTCATTTGTGCATTTTCAGTTTAAAGTGAGAGAGGAATACGTTCTACTTCTTTTACGTTGTTTTATTTCGAACATTTACGCGGTCAACTACAGTCGATGTGGCAGACAACAGTATCGTGTCGGTGGAGATGGTGGCTCTTAAGATGTTGACAAAATGTTGGTTATAACTATATAAACATTTTAAATTTAAAAGAAAATCTATGATTGTCATGTGTGAGTTATAGAAAATTAACTCGTCATTTAGCCACTTTTTTTTTTTTCATTTATGCTTCGTTTTTCAGGGACGCATCTGCCTTGTAAATAGCGAAAGGACTGTAGGGGAGATATTTTAGCACAAATTGGAATGTGCTTATTGGGTGCATTCGGTAACACTGCATTTTGCGTGCGGAGTGTATTTAAGGGTTCCTTATGATTCTCAGAATAAACCGTGATTATTTCCTAAAAACAGCGTTAGCCAGTTGATTTTTGTAATGGAGATGCCTTGTATTTTCGTTGATGTAGGAACTACATTTTTAAATATAATTTAGATTAACTTTGACTTCAAATGTTTTGAGTGTAGGAAAATAATTCAACCAGAACTGCTCGTGCACCCATTCACACACACCCAGTCGTCTGCTTTAGCTTTTGTCAGTGTCTCTTCTTCGCGTACTCGTAAGAGACGCGAAGCGTTACAATTTTATATTTCATTGTAACCTCTTGACCTTAAATAGACAAATGGCTGGTGTATCAACTGAGACATTTGTAGATATGTGCATCTGTTGGGCGTCCATCATTCCTGCAAAAAAAATTAAAATGTCATCCTCTTGGACTCGAATTAGCGTCATGTACATTTCACCCACTGCTGGACTATTATATCGGTAAGACGCAGCGGCAGTATTTGTGACAGACTGTTTTTGTGTGAAAAATGGGCACGAGAGGTTTGTCTTTAAGAGATTAGCGGTGATAATAAATTTAAAACACTTGGCAGCAGCTTTCTGTCCGCAGAAGAAATTTCAGTCTTGTTAAATTAATTATCATCGAAATTTATTACTGTTAGTTCCTACAGAAATGTCATTGTGATTGGTTTAACCCTTTGCTTAACCACAACATGAAATTATCCTGGAATGTGGAGGTAGAGCTCCATATATTCTCAAAACCCTGAAGGTGGTTACATGCAAATAAATTATTCTTCGCTTTATGCAGTTGTCATTTGTGTCTGAAAATATAAAATAAATGCTTTGGCCCGGAAATAAACATGAAGTGGTTTCCTGCAAACTTTGTCAACATTTTTTTTTAAGTTAAAGTGCCGTCTGCATTGGCAGTTTGTTCTGCACCTTTATACTGCCTTATAGCGCTACGAGCTGTATGTTTAATGTTTGCTGTGGGTGAGTACAACATTGTGGAAATTTGTATCTGGAAAACACTGGACTAACGAGGACCATTAGAAATGTAATAAAGTGGATGGTAGAGTTAGTGAATTCATTATTATTCCTTTCATGTTCTTGTTCTAGAAAATTAATTGTATTTTATATAAAATCTATAAACTGTTTCTTGTTCACTTTATTTGGTAATATTTTGGAAATGTACTGACGATTGGACGCGCGTCAGCGAAGTGGATTTTCGTCTTCTGAGTTGTGACGCCGTGTAGTTTCGTACACGCGCCCATAGGCAGCTGGTTACAAGATTACGCATCGTCACAATCGAGAAGACAGTCTGTGGTTCTGTTGCCATTGAAACGTCAGATTTAATGCGGTAATGAAGTATTCTGTATTGTGTGGCAACTCTTGGCTTTGCAACTGAAAAACATGACACTGCTTGTCATGTGAAATGTAATTTGGTAATGAAAACGAAGTTTGTATATGCTCGTACAACATAAAATGTTTGCATTCCATTATGCAACATGTTGATGTTTTAGATTTAAAGTAGACCCAAAACACTTATCAGTTTTCTTATTTAAAAAGGTGTTAGTGCTTCAGTTATCACAAAATGAAACAAAATAATGTATGTTTGTGTATTACTTCTGAAATAGATTTTATTTATATGTATTCTGAACTGTGAGTTTAATTTTGTAGAGAAATGTCAGGTACCCAAATGGAAGTGATTAATGGTCAAGTTCTTTTGTTTCGCATAATTTGGTATATTTATTTATTTTAACAATCTTTATTGTTGTAAAGTCCGCCTCAGTTCATGTATCGCTTATGAAGAAGAAAGACAATGTTCAAATGTGCGCTGCAACTTTGAGAAAAGGAGCATTTTATTCCAGTTTTAGTGCATTTTTATATGTTCAAAAACTGGCAGTAGAAGAGGTTATGGACGTCAGAAATTCGTGACCAGGTTTGATGTGGTAGGTGCTGACATCTAGCAGATACGTGTTTGAGCTACGTCATATGTATAGTAGTGTTACTAGCGACTGCTGTTGAAGTAATTGTCTGACGCTGGTTTCAATGTTTGCTTCTCATTTGATTTTTGTTTTAAACGTATCATACTTTTATATTAACCAGATAACCGTGCAGCTGAAGTTCGGATTAATATTCTTTATACTGTAACTAAATTCTGTGCTATACAATCTTAGCTTTTGTAACAAAAGTCTGGAATTATAAATTAGTGTTACACTTTTGTTGGGATTTCAAGGTCACACTATGGCATTTCCCGGGAACAGTATTGCCAATTCTTGTAGGGTAAACTAGGAGAATAAAACCACGAAATGTCTTAAAGGGGACAGACGTGTAAGTTGTATGAGAGACAAATAATGTACACAATTGTTGAGAGACTTTTAGATTGACCACTAAAGATCAAGGAGATAAAATATCAGAACGTGCCTTACGTAGGACCGTAACCAATTGGGGCTTGTCATGTTGCACGCATTGGGGAGAGATGGTTCAACTAGCTCTGAGATAGGATGGACTTGTAAAGACTGTAGTTCGTCTTCGGTTACCACGAAAGGCTGTACATTTCAGAACCACACGAGCGACTATTAGCTTCTCAAGAAGAACTCAGTCTACGTGAACTTTCTTCTTTATATTAAGAATGTTTATGTTATTGTTCCTATTCTGTTTAATTTCTCATTACGTTCGGAAAGTCTTGCCATCTTGCCAACAATCTTCTGACTGTACTGGCCAAAGCTGTTAATTCGTCATTTACTAATTGGCTGAAGATGAAGGGTTAAAAGCAGCAGGTGATTAAGATTTCCGGGGTGTTGGGAGTGAGTGATGGGCCGGTCGTCACGTACGACGTGGGGTCATGACGGCGAATTAGCTATGCAGCCCTCATCAGCAGTATTAAATACCAACACGGCCTGCGATGTTTTTTTGTTTTTTTTCCAAGACAGGCTCGCTCTTAAATGCTAATGTGTTAGACCGTTAAGATGGCCGCCCTTTATTTATCACTTACGACATTTGTAACTAGTCGAGAAGTATACTTCATATTGGAGCATAAATATTTTACATCTGTCACTGAACTTCATGTTAATTTATCAATTACGTATATATCGCAGGTACAAATTTTCTACCGGAACAACAAATTTATTTATTTTAAGCCTAGAAAGACTTTTAACGGGGGGATAGTGATGACAATCTTTTTTTGTCTGTGTTTGTTATTGATATCGATACCTGGCAGAGATCGAAGGTTCAGCATCACTAATACCCCTGGAATACAACTGGAATTCTGAGGTAAGTCTCTCCTCTTTAACAGCCATTAATTTCACTCTCGTAGCGTGTGTTTTTCGTATGGTTATCAGAAGAAAAAAAACTGTTAAGTAGGATTTGAGGTTATCATTTGGTAACTGACGATGGAGGCAGCAAGGCCTACACGGCGCTACAACCCAGAAGACAGCCATCTTTGTAAAGAACGCCTTTAAAATTATCGTTGTCGAGACGTATTTTCTATGAGACACGGATTGAATATTAAATAAGTTATTATTTAGAAGAATTTCGTTCTTCAATTTATTAAAATGAGAAGCATTGATATTTTATTTTGACGTTAGATTACCGATATTGGCTTATAAACAGCAACTTTTTATGTCTTTCAGAATCTGAAGGCCTCGAAGGGTCTCTTGATCGGCTATTTGAAGACAGGGTTTCGTCAGAATTTGATAAATTCGTTCTGCTAAATTATCTTTCACATTTATAGTTTAGTTTTCTTTGAACTGGGCAGTGTTGGTGTGAATATTTTACATTTCCTTATGAGCGTATTAAAGATGAAAATATTTATGTGGAATACTTACGTTCGTATTTGTATTTTTTATGTCTGAAAGTATTTTCAGGATTTCAATGCATATTAGGCGTTTATTACTGTTCGTACTGTACCGACTTGTCGGTATAAACGGTCAGCATGGAACTCACGTGTGTGTGTGTGTGTGTGAGAGAGACACGGACGGACGGACCCGGGTTAAAAACTTTGAAGCACAGACTCATATCATGAAAGATGAGTTCATGTGTGAGCGGGCATACGGGATGAGAATAATAATTATTATGAGTAATAACCGGCAGGTTATTCTAATGGCGGTGTGAAGTTGGGTACATCGATAGATATTTTTAAAAAAAAGTTTCTAGTCAGATGAAAAGTTAATCCCGTAGGAATATGAGTATCTTATTAAATAGTTCTTAGTTGATTATTTAATTAAAATTGTCTATTATTTTTTTTTTGGTAATCTCATATTACGCGTTTCAACAAAGAATTTCTCAGAATCTCCACGCAAAAGAATCGATCAGTAGTTCGCTTCATCGTCACCAGGATGCGGTATTCAAAATGATTACGTATACCCATGGTCACAAAAAGGACTTTGCAGCCCACACAAGCCGCTATTCGGACGATAGCGAACAATTTATCATTGTTTTTTATTGTAAATCTAATATTCAGTGCTCACGTTGGGGTTAAAAGCTTTAGTGTTCTAATTTTTTTTATATATATATATAGAACGTGGATAAAACCTATTCCATGTGGTCGGCACGCCTTCAGGACAAGTTTCTTGTAGTAACGCCATGTCCTGCGTGTACACACTGAAATATTAATAATAAATACAAGGAAGACAAATGAGATAGAGTCCTACAACATTAGTATAATCGTTTTTTTTAAGCCGAAATTTATATCGACAAATGCGTCACTACATTTAACAATAGTTGACAAAATTTGAGAATATCAGTGACATCTTTTTTCCAGTCATTTGTCAATCATCGGTCTGTCCCTTCTGTTTCTAAGTTTGTCGTCGTCTGTCTTCTGGGTTGTTACGCCGACGTTTCAGAGGTGCTTGCTGCCTCCAAAATCAGGTACTCATCACCCTGATGATGGAGGCAGCAAGCACCTCCGAAACGTCGGTAAACTTCTACCAGACTCTTGTTAGATTCTTACGCGTTACGCCACACGAGAGCCTGAAGAACACCTGGTAATGGTTAATGGTGAATGTAACGTGGGTTACTGCTTATGATTATGGTTGTGCATTATGCTTGAATGACCAAATTCAATAACGTCATTGATCCTTGAGTGCTGAAGTGTTGTCAGCTGATAATCTTGTAAGAAAACAAAACAACAGACGTATGTAAAATGTGGAACACGCTGGCCTTCTGACGACTTGTTGTTACGTGACATCTGTGTGGTTATAAACCTATGTTGTTGTTGTTATTTATTTGTGAATTTATTTAATGACTCTTGTCAGTAGCTTGAACTTCACAGCGTCAAATGTCAGAGCGATTAACTAATAATAAATTAGAAAGGTAGGGACTGAGGAAAGCCACGTAACACGGTAGTAAGCATAGCCAGTTTCTGAGCCGAGGTTTGAACTCAGGACCTCTCGAGTTTGAATTACACGTATGTAGCAAATAAAAGTATTATTAAAGACTTAGAACATGGACCGAAAAACTTCAAAGAGAATCACGAAAAATGACGGGTTCTTTTGAGAATTCTTTTGTCCCACCCACTCTCATTTTCATTTGGTCATGCCCCCACATAATACATCATGCTTAGTTGAAATCACAGATAATCCATAATGCACGGACATGAGACAATTTACAGGCCTACATAAGCACATAGTTACACAGTACGTAAGTAAACCGAGCTTTTTATTAAGGTTTGAAAAGTCTGAATATTTAATAATATTATTTTATTGTGATTAGACTGATAAAATTTAGCAAAGTCTGTAAGTACATAACCCACTTTACAATTTAAGCACAGTCGTTCCAGAAAATCTGACAGTGGCTAAACAGCCCAACAACCACCCCCCCCTCCCCATTTCTGCAACATATCTGATAATGGCCGCGTTCACAAGCTCCCACCATTGGTCCCTATCCTGAGTCAGATGAATCCAATCCACACTCTTATACCCTGTTTCTTTAAAATTCATTTTAGTTCTAACAACTCCACTTTTACCTTACTTCCCATCTGTTTCTTGGTCTATCAAGTTTACGTTCATATTTTCACACTAATTTTGCATTTACTTAGATATTTGCATATATTTGTGCTGTAAATTCGCGTGTTAGTATATAATATATGTAATACGTTGTAAATGTTCAGCCAGTGCTATCTGGCGGTCGTAGAGAACAATTATACCTCCTCTGTTGATTAATTACTTGAGTTATCGGCAGCTATTACACACAGTTTGAAGTGTTCCCATAAGCAACTGCAGAGGGATAAGGCATACCATTAAACTTTAACCTCGATCTATTATCTCTGGTCCAATGTAAGTATTAATTAACCGACGGACATCTCATTAAAAATTAGCGGCAGAATTCGAATGAATCGGTCCATCTCGTGATGCAGACTGTGGGAGGTCCAGATATGGCTGGAAGATAGCGTGACAATCGTTTATTGTAATTATTTTCGGTCTAATTACTCAAGTGCGGGAGGTAAACTTCATTTGTTTCGTAGATTGCATCACGGTAATGTCACGAGCTTCGCGTTCAATACTCTGTTTCCTTTTGTGCACGTGAGTCAGAACTTAACAAGTGGTTTTATGAGCGCGACCTCTCAAAGTTTACGGAAATAAACCATTTTTCGTGTTGAACTAAGTAAGAAAATCAAAAAAAGTTAATATTAACACAAATAACAGTTGTCCTTGAACT